ACAGCAAAAGGTTGTAACTGTAAGGGTTGACATTGACTAGCACATAATAGTACACATTTGCTAAATGTAACTTAGTCCTTTGTTGTCCTTTTGTTTAATAAATCAAACAACAACTATTTTGCTTAATATATCCACATGGAAAACAGGGGGTGGACTTTAAATGTAATGGCCCATCATCAATGTTCTCCGAAAGTGGGTGGGGGACTAGGGAAAGTATATACTGTAAAGTAATTAAGGGGGTCTGGGCCATAATTTATTAGATGACAATTTTCAGCAAAATTTACAAATCTAACTTAACATTATTGAGCTCCCCCCCCTCCGGTTTGTACATACGCCCATGAAATGCAATGTTAAGAAATCATGTTTGAAACCAGATTTTATGCCAGCAAAATTTTCGTATAAAAGCAGGCTGGTGAAATCCATTTTCACGATAGACATATTAGTCGACGAGGGAGAAATAGGACAGTATGATCCATATCTGTGAACTGTATATTTGTTTAGAATAATTAATCAATAAATTATTGTGTTTGCTTACCTTGTCTTTTCGATATGGTATCTGATTAATATTCGTACATGAGGGGCCTTTATTTGATACCAAAACATCGCACGTTGCGTACGGCAGATTAAAATGTGATGCACATGCTTTTTTAAGATTTAGCAGTGTGAGTTCTTTATATTCAAATGAGACGAACTCACGTGGTTGAATTGGCTTGTACGTCTGTTTGTTGTCTGGCTCGGATGAGAGCTTTTGGACGATTATTTCAGATGGCGCATTAGGCGTTTTATCGCTTGCTTTCTGTCCAGCTTTTGTGGTTCGCTTCGCTGACATTCTTTGTGCCAGGTCATCCCAAACTGCTTTTCTTTTAGGTGGCATTTTGAATGAATTACGTAAAGAAACACAATATCATAGAGTAAGTAAGAATATACTTCATCTGTGACGATATGAAGGCTCGGTCACTCAGCTACCACTGGCCGAAGTGCATCATGGTCTATGAGAACGATGGGCTTTTTAACAACATTTGATTTTGATTTTTGAAACGAAAGTCGTATATAACTTGCTTTTTCTAAATCAAATGAGAACGTTGGGCTTTTTTCACAATTTGAAAGTTGAATTTCATTTTCATTTTGAAATGAAAATCGCATGTTGGTTTTTATTTTTAATTTTAATTCTTCAACAATTTTTTTTTTAATTTTATATTTTTATTATGTTTTTTTTTTAATTTAATAAATACTTTTTTTTGTTTTTTTATTTTATATTTTTATTATTTTTTTTTAATTTCATAAATTTTTTAAAATATTTTTTATTTTATATTTTATTATGTTTTTTTTTAATTTCATACATTTTTTAAAATATTTTTATTTTATATTTTTATTATGTTTTTTTTTAATTTAATAAATACTTTTTTTTGTTTTTTTATTTTATATTTTTATTATATTTTTTTAATTTCATAAATTTTTTAAAATATTTTTTATTTTATATTTTATTATGTTTTTTTTAATTTCATAAATTTTTTAAAATATTTTTTATTTTATATTTTATTATGTTTTTTTTTAATTTCATAAATTCTTCTTTTTTTTGTTTTTTTATATATATTTATGTTGAATATACGATGAGAACGATGGGCCACCATATAGGGGTTAGGTGTCAATTGGGACGAGAGTCCTGTTCCTTTCCCCTGTCACGATTTGTATTTGTCTTTAATTAGTTTGTATCATGTATAAAGTGACAAATTCATTATATTATTATATTATGTATATATAATTAGTATTATCTTACATATTAGTACAGTATAAGGCCGAATTTCGATTGTTTATAGATTGATGCCACCCAAGGTTCAATAACCAGTGGAAAGAGGAAATAATTCTGTACAAGATATGAACGTTTTAAACAATTCTATAGAATAGCAGCTGAGAAATTTATAGTTTAAAATGCTATTCTTGACACTCAGACAAGTGTGTGTGCGCTATGTATGTATAATTAGTATTGTCTTACATCTTAGTACAGTATAAGGCCGAATTTCGATTGTTTATAGATTGATGCCATCCAAGGTTCAATAACCAGTGGAAAGAGGAGATAATTTTGTACAAGATATGAAAGTTTTAAAAAATCCTATAGAATAGCAGTGGAGAAATTTATAGTTTAAATTTCTTAGCAAATTCTATTGAATATTTGTTGGCAGTGTGGATAGCTGTTAGGAAAGTATTGTTTTGGAGTGCTTTGAAATGCATTTGTAGGTTTGTGTGCGGATAACCATAAAGGTACTAGTTAGCTAATGTGACCTGCATGGTTTATTTCTCCCAAGAAGAAATGGCTGTATTTATCATTTTGACTTTTGAGTGATTGAAATTAGTTAATTTACACGATATAGAATATCATGTTGAATCTCATGCGTACTTCAGTGGTGAAATATTAAATCCTGTTCGCTAGAAAGAAGAGTACAAAGTATTTATTAGGGGCCATTCACAAAGGATGTCCGGCCAAATGATGGATTTTCAGACCCCCCTCCCCCCCTTGTCCGGCATTGTCCGAATTAGTGACCCTCCCCCCGGACATCCGCCATGCCTCGCAAAAACTCAAGCAACCTTCTATATGTCAAGAGTAAAAAACTTTTTTTACTTTTAGAACTTTTTTATAACTATAAATGTGAATACAAAACATATAAATTATTAATTAAAACAAAATCTAGTATTAACCACATAGTCCCTATATATAAAAGTAAATAATTATGCCATATCGTCAATTTACTCATCATCCAAGTGGTCAATTTCTTCAAATGGATGTTTCAGAAAGTTCCCAACGTCCACAAGAGGTGTTCTTTCGCTAAGTTCTGTGTTGTTTTACTCTTCTGTCATTTCATCCTTTCTTGCGGCTTTCATTGCCAACTTCTTGTGACCAGTTATCTTAAGGTGCGATTTGGCAAGTTCGAGAGTAGTGAAGATCTTTTTGCATTTCACGAATTCACATTGGTATCTACTGCCATCTTTCTCTGCAAGTTTTTTCTGAACAGATGGGCAGAACAAGTCGTATGGTAAACCAATTTCCTGATAACCACTAGGTTTCAAGTGTGACAATGCCAAGGTTTGGAGAAGATTGGTGTAGATCTTTTTCTCTTTGACAGGTTGCTCTCCAATACTGGCCAACTGCACACCACTCTCTGTACTTCGTTTGATGAGGCGTGGTCCCGGGAGGTACCTTTCTTTCATGATTACTCGAATATTTTATCTCAGTTTTCCACAGCAAGAAAGATCATCACATTTAGAAATTTGCAGACAATATTTTGATATGCTGCAATGCTTTTCAAACCAATCGGGATTTGGTGGATCGATCTCCTTTGGCTCATCTGTTGGCTTTCGGTAGGAACATTTCACAGTGTGGTTATCAATAGATATATTGTTCCAGATATCACAAAGGATTTCGCCTGCTTTTTGAAAATTTTTTCCCTCAAGATCAGTGTCAGTCGTTTTGCTGGAAGCATCCAGATGAGAACCAAACTGGTCATGAGGCAGTATCACCCCTGCTAAGGCAGCACTCAATGGGGCCATTCTTCTTTCAATAAAGTGATATCCTGATAGGCCTGCAGCATTGCAAACACAAAATATGAAATCAAGATCATGTTCTTTAAAGATACTAGCCAGGGTGTTTCTAGTGGAAGGAAAACGTGGTCCATCATGGCCATCTCGGGTTAGAATCAAAATTGGCTTGGTTGAGCCATCCTCCAGCTTGCACATCTCCTCAGTTTTCAGCAATTCGTCAAGAGCTTCAATTTGCACAGATGCGTTAGATGGAGTATGCTTCAGGGATTTCACCTGAATGGGAGTTGGCCCCGAGTACTTCACTGCTTTTCTATCAGCGAGCGGAGTGTCTTGAATTTCACGCAAACAACCAATGACAGTTGGGGTAAGTTTGTGTTTGGTTGCAATAACAAAGTCATGATCTGGAAGTTGTACTTTGTACTTGACACTCATTAGCAATGGTGCTTGCATATTTGCTGCTGTAATACCAATGGGTACATGGGCTTTATCATCTTGCCCAATGAACAATGTCAAAGCAGGTCCGAAAAGAGAGGCAAGTTCTTCAGCATGCTCCATTGACTTGGCAGCGAACCAACGATCAGGATTTTTGCTTCTCTTATCATTGGAGGCTCTGCATAACTTAACTGGGACGGTAGTTACATGTCGTTTCCCCTGGGTTGTATTTACTCTTGATGGGAGAAGTCTAAGATAAACAGCAGTACGGCTTAGTGTAAACCCTTGCTTTTTTAATTCGTCTACCAGATCATCTAATGTGCGAACAGACCGTATTATTTCACTACGTCTTCTGTCTTCTGATCCACATCCTAATATAGCAATCTCCTGAATTGTGTGAAGAAGGTTGTCATTCTGAGCGTATGTTGGTCTTCCTACTTTCGTCGTTGTGGTGAGGCAAGACAATTCTTCTGCTATCTCAGGTCTTTTCTCTATCAGCTCTTCGACTTTCTTTTTCTTGTCTAATCTGGCCTTTTTCTTGCGTTCAGCCTCCGTCTGCAGTAGCAATTTTCTCTTCAGAGCTTTTTCCCTTTCATGTGAAAGAGACTTGACCATTTCTTTGGTTTGTTTTCTGTTCTCAATAATATTACTTTCTAAACTGGCTTTGTGTGCTTCTATTTTTTTTGGTCATCTGATCAATTTCGACAGTCAGTTTATCCTGGGCTGGAGTAGACCGTGAAGTTGAGGGAGGAGTAGATTGATTTGGCGTCCTGATCCCCCTTTTCTTGTTCTTGATTCACATTGACGCTATTTGAAGAACACTCGGGTTGGTCTGCTGGAAACACAATTTCCACATCGGAATTAGCCTCTAGAAGACATAAAGAGGGGTTAATACTGTAATCAAATGTCAAAATATGGAAATAATACCCAAGTTTTCAAACAACAGATACTTCAAATCAACATACGTGGCTTTTTGAAATGACAGAGCCGACTTTACCATACATTAGCCTGGCACAGAAAAAAGTTTTGTGTAGATGCCTAGCAATCCCACTCAGCATTTTGTAACAACATATTTCTATATTTAAAATTTAATAGCAGCTTTGAAATTATTTCTCCGTGAGAATGAGTAAAATTTCACCCACCTGAGTTTTTATCTTTATCAGAAACTGATATTCGTTTTTCTGCTGACTTTCAAAAAAACTTTAAAAAAACAGCCTTTTTCCTGCAGCTTAATTCAGACTTAAGATTCTTGATCATTACACTAACTCTTGTTTTCAGTTCAACTATATCATTGGTTTCAGTTTTTGCTTCAGTCCAGAGATCCATAGTCTTTTTGAGCCAAGCTTGTGAATTTTTATCAGAGTAACAATCTTTAACAACCTTGTATAGCTGGTTGTATAGTTTCGATTTGTCATCCATAGTAAAAACAGAAACATGAATTTACACAAGTATAATTTGGGCAGTCATGTTTTCTTTTTTGCATGTAAAAAAAATCACGCTCAAACTTATGCTCAAACTTAGCAACCAGCCCTCCGCTATGAGGGATCATATATCTGGGTATCAATACCCTGTTTTGAAGCAAACTCACTTTAATTTATATTCACCGAACTGTGAATGGCAATGTTTCGCTGGATTTTTATATCATTTCTACATGAAATATATTTGTAAAACAGACTTGTATCAAACACAATATCCCTTTATAAAATGTTTAATATAAAATGTTTAATATATCGAGAGTTCAGAATCACAGGTAAGATTACATTTATATTTTGTTTTTATATCCGAGAACTACAACAATCACATATATAGGCCTATTTATATTAAATTAGCTATTAAAAACAATCACATTTAATAGGAAACAAGCAACTGTAATACTGCAACAACGGGATAAACTTATTGTATAGAAAAGGAGAGTTATACATGCAGAAAGCTTTTATTTAACGCCACTGTTGAATTCATCATTGAAGGAAAGAATTAGATAATATTATGAAGTGTTCAAAATGCCAATTTCACAATGGGAAGGAGAGTTAGAAATAGAGGAAAAAGAAATTTGTTTTTGAATTTTTTTTAAATTTCGGACGTCCGGATTGCTAAAAACCCCCCTCCCCCCTATGTCCGAGTTTGTCCTGATTTTCCAAACCCCCCTCCCCCTCTTGGCTCGGACATCCTTTGTGAATGGCCCCTTACAAACAGATTAAACAAAACTCAGAAGATATTTTTTTAATTTGTTTCGGAAAGATGCGATTGAAAAAGTGCTTCACATATCTGAACTTAAGTTATTGAAGAATTTTGGGCCTTGATAAAACACAGAGAATCGTCTGATATTAGTCCTACAAAACGGGATATAGAGTAATCCGGAGTTTCAGGTGTTGTACTGATGAATTCGATTAACCGGTTGAAAAAAAATTATGGAAAGCATCAGGAAGCAAGACATTGTTATACAAAAACATAAACATACCTACATTAAATCAATATATATCACCAAATTTCAGAATTTTCAATTCTTTAAATAATGGATCAGTAAGTGCATCGTATGGTTGTCTACATAGCAGCGAACCACTCGTTTTTGGAGTTTGATAACACGATCAAGATTCACTGGATATGTAGAGCCCCAAACAATAACACAGTATTGCAAATAGGGGTACACCAAAGAAAAGTACAAAATACATAAAGCAGCTTTGGAAAAAAGCTTGCTTTAAAAATAATACCCACAGACTTAGATATTTTATTTGAAATTAATGATATGTGAGGTTTCCAAGACAGGCATTCATCAAGTACAACACCAAGAAACACTACTTCACTGACTCGGTCAACACATGACTTATTAATTTCCAGAACAAAATCATGTGTTAATTTCCTCTGCCTTGGCTTAAATAGAATAAAATTTGTCTTTTTTAGATTGATAGATAATCGATTTGACTGAAGCCAAATAGATAATTTTTCAATTTCCGTGTTAACAGTAGACATCAAGACATTCAGGTCTAGATGACTATAAAATATATTTGTCTCATCGGCAAACAATATAAGTTCTAGAATGTTGGAGGCATTACAGAGATCATTTATATATATTAAAAAACATAATGGGCCGAGAATTGATCCTTGTGGCATGCCACATGTAAATGGCTATAAGAAGAACAAGAACTTTTGTAACTAACAAATTGAGATCTATTTGCAAAATAGTAATGTATCCAATCTAAGGCCAGACCACGGATCCCATAAAATTCAAGTTTATCGAATAGAATACCATGGTTCACCGTGTCGAAAGCCTTAGAAAGATCAAGAAAAACACCTACAGTATATTTTTTGTCATCAATAGCAGCAGAAATTTGATCGACCAAATTAAGCAGTGCAAGAGAGGTTTAATGGTTTCTTCTGAAACCATATTGATTATCAACTAATATCTTATTTGCATCCAAATAATTAATTATTCTACAGTAGACAGTTTTTTCCAAAATCTTGGAAAAGACTGGCAATATTGAAACAGGTCTATAATTAGATATTATTTTTCTCTCTCCCGACTTGAACAGTGGAATCACTTTAGCAATTTTTAACTTATCCAGTACAATACTGGATTCCAAAGATATATTTACAATATGAGTTAACATTTTGGACATTAAATTAATTGAATTTTTAATTGACCAAATGCAAATATTGTCATAACCTGAGGAAGTACGATGGAAAGTATTTCTGACACAGACTCGAAAAAAATGGAGTTAGGATAGTTTCCATATAAATACGATTGATGAGACTGAGTAGGGAATGATATTTTGTCAGCTAAATTTGGTCCAATGCTCGAAAAATACTTACAAAAATAATTTGCAATCAACAATGGATCAGCAATGTCCTGATTATTAATAGAGAATGTTTCAGTAAGTGTGTTTTGCTTTTTCTTCGTATTTAACACTTCATTAAGTACACGCCATGCTTTCTTTATATCAGATTTTACACATTCAAACTTAGTCTTGTAAGAAAATCGTTTAGCATTTTTTAATAATTTATTTAATTTATTCTTATATGCTTTATAAAGTGTTTCATTTTGCGCAGTAGGGAATGAAAGATATTTCCTATAGAGCTTATTTTTCCTTTTAATGGATTTAAAGAGACCATTAGTGACCCAAGGTTTTCTTGAATTAAGTTATGATGACTTTATTTTCTTCAGTGGAAAAGAAGAATCGTAAATAGAAGTAAATTAATTAAAGAAGCTATCATAACCCATTTTGGGATCATTATAGCCTGGAAGATTTTCACAAACAGTCTCATTTAGCTGATTCTGAAATTTTATCAGATTAATCTTGCTTTTATCTCGATATAGTGTATACTTATTTTTTGCTTCTTTAAGAGAATTGTAATAACTAATGCAAAATACAGGCAGATGATCGGAAATAATAAACCAGTAAATAAATGGCGATCAATATGATTTGTAAATACGTTGTCGATTAGTGTAGCTGTGTGAGAAGTTATTCTTGTTGGACGAGTAATTAATGGAAAAAACATATTAGAATACATAATATCCAAAAATTCATTGGTCTGATTGTGCGATTGACAATTTAATAAATTCAGGTTGAAGTCACCCATTAAGTAGCAAGACTTGTTTTCCTTAGCAATTTTGGCAGTTAACGTATTAACTGCTTGAATAAAATCATCAACATTTTGTGAAGGTGGTCTATAAATTATTCCGACAATAATACCTTTCCCCTTTGTTTCTACATATTTCAACGAACAAAGATTCCACGTGTTCAAGACCATCAAGAGAGAGGTCATCTCGCATTTTAAACACCATGCTATTGTCCAAGTAAAGTCCCACACCACCCCCAGCCTGACCATGACGACAGTTTTGAATAAAATTATAACCATCAAGATCAACATTAGTTTAAGAATCAGACAACCAAGTTTCCGTAATACCAACAACAGAGAATTTACAATCTATACTAGCCAAAAGGTTTTTTAGCTCATCTATGAGCGGGAAGACTATGGATATCTAAATGTAAAAGTGATAAATCGGTTGAACTAACAATAGGTATTTTGATTAATTTATCATTCAAAGTACTCTCTTTATAGAAATCGCAACTAGACAAATCTGCATATAATTTACTATCAGGATCAAGGTCATTTTGTAGGGTTAAACTTTTATTAAACCTTGGTAAGAAAGGATTAAACGCTAAGGTAGAGAGTCTATCTGGGTGAAAATTCATTTCACCATTAGGTAGCTCATACATCAATAAGTCAAACTCGTCATCATCGAGCTGGTGAAAGGGTAGGGCATCAGCAAAACTCTCATTATTATTACCCTCCATTAATACACACATTTATAAATAAATATGATAGACTTCACTTAGCTATCCTCAAGGTTCTCCAGATCTTCAATCGATTTGATAGCCACACGTCGGGAATTCTCTTCCTTTCTCAAGTAAATTGTAAAGTTTTTTACCCAGCAAAACTTATATTCATTACGAGTTTGAATTTTCTTTGCTTCACCAAGCAATATTGTACTTGCAGTGTAAGGTGATCAAGAATAAGGGCATGTCTTAATGCACTATCTGTCGGCAAACCATTGTCACTAGCTTTGAGCTCAGAGACGTTCTTTCGGACTGTCATGATATGTTCTTTAGTGAGACGTCTAACAAGTTTACATATGATAGGTTTTGGTTCCGGTTTCGCGTTTCTGACATGATGAGCAATGTCGATGTCACTTTTGTTGACTTTAACACCAATCTGGTTGAATAAGTTACAGGAGATGTTAGTTGTTTCGGTAGCAGATTCGTTTTGATTCATTTGTGGGATCCCAATCAATTTCACGTTATATTAATAAGTATAGCGTAAGCTTTCTTCAATTGCCATTGAAATCGATTCGACTTGACCAGCTATGACATTCAGCTGAGATTTATAAAGCTTAAGCTCATTTATAAAGCTTAAGCTCTCAGACTTAAATTTGGTTAGATCGTCATATGATTTACTGTAAAATTAGAGATGTTTTCGTGTTTCATCTTCGATTTTGTCGCCGTTTCCAGCTGGTACTGCCTCGCGTCTTCAGATTTTCTTCCAACTTTTGCATGCTTGCAGTCAATCTGCACTTTCAATGCATCATTTTCTTTTTTTAAAAATTTAACATTTACAGCTGCCATATTAAGGCACTGTTTGTTTTATGAAACAGCAGAGCTGGACTTTTAGAAATTATTGGACTTCAAGGACTTTTAGAAATTATTGGAGGCTGTTGCCTTCTATCCCACTGCTGCATTATATCATGTAACATTCACCACAATTTCCAACTGACATCAAACTTCATTGACATGAAGTCTGTCTCAAGTCTTGCACAAACACATTGTACACAATTTTGACAATGTGCCTTACACCCAAAAACCAAATTCACCAGGGATAGACATACACAATTGCAAGCATTGTAGTGCATTAATTTACCCCCATGATCATCCCAGAGTACAGGTGGTAGTCATATGAAATGTTGATAATTATTATGGATGGCCCACATGTTATAATATGCCCTTGGTAAATGTATGACACCTAAATTACATGTAATTATTATAAGTAATAGCATGGCATTCAGGGAAATTAGTGATTCAATGTACCCAAAAGAGATTTAGGCGTGCAGTGCCGAGGGCTCTCAATGCTTGAAGGACATTTCATCACAAATCGAACGTAATACCATGCTATCACTTTGTAATATCATAGCTACCAAGACAATGAAACAGTTTTGATTGAATAAGTTCAAATGAAAAGGTATGTTTGCTTTTTGATACTAATGATAATTGGGATGGTCGTTACTGAGGGGTTGATTTTTCATGTCTGTCAAATATTTAATTGAACATCAATATAAGTTGTTATGCATAAAGATGAGGGACGATTAGTTTCTTATTGTCCCTCATGTTTTAGCAATGAGGTGAATTAGTTAATCGTCCCTCGCGAAGCAAAGGATTTAGAGATAGCTATGATATTATTCAATTAATCATTCACATTTCATTTTGAGGATTTAGATTTCATTTTGAGGATTTAGACGTTCTCTTTTTCACCAACTTACTTGGCTTGTAAAAAGACAGATTTTCAATTTAGCCAGTGTTGCTCCTCTTCATCACTGATGTTTGCCCAAGTAGAATGCCATTCATCGTAGATCCACATGGGCTATAAGTAGGATGGTCATTTTGCCCATTTCGTCCATGTTGTTGGCAGAACATGTTCTTGACAAGATTGCTGTTCATTTGGTCAGATTATATACAACATCCTGTGTGCCTTTGGAAGGTCCACCTGTAGATTTCTTCAAAACCCAAGACAGTTGACGAGATGTCAAACATAGTTTTCACAGAAATAAAAAGTTTGTTTTTTTCTGTAGCCCTTATATGTTGTTGGGATGAGACCATTACTTGCCAGTTTTGGATCGACTCTAATGCATTTCTGTTTTCAGAAAACCGAGAATCTTCCATGGATGTGTATGCCTGGTGGCTATTAAAATTCTTTATTAGAACGCTTGTTGTTTCCAGAAACTGAATAGCACCATCCAAATAGGCAATCATGGTCTCATTGATTTTACTGAGGTGCTTCTTAAAGCTCTAATAAAATTAATTTAACCAAGAGCTTCAATATTTAGTTTCCTTATTTTCCATAAACATAGTGTATATTTAATCTATGACTTTATGGTATCAATTTTATCTTTCTGCTTCAGGCCAATTAAGAGACAAGTGTACTTTAAGTTAACATAAATTATTTCATTCACATACTGCAAGTGAATTGAGCCTTGAATAAATAAGCCTTGTCCTTTGTAGCCATTGCACACCTTCATCAGATTCAGCATGTTACTGTCAAGCACTTGTTCCGCAAGGTGGTTCCTCATCTTCGTTGCATACCCATGTTCAAAGTGCTTTGTGGTGAAGCTATGGTGTAAAGGTAGTGAACTGGTTTGGTCCCAGTTAAAAGCATCAACCCACTGTTTCCATGATATTGGCAGATTACCAACCATAAGATTTCGTGTACCACCTTCCTTGCTCTTGGAAACATTATTTTGTAATTTCTTGACATTGTGCTCTACAAAATAATATTAAAGATATTAATTTGTAACAAATGGAAAATATATTATCATTTAGACATGTTGAAGAGTGCACCGACTCAATCAAGCATGCAAAAAGATTTAAAATACTGTATGTGCATGTCAGTCAGTCATAATCGTGAGAACAGCGCTGTTACTTTCACTCTACCAAGCATTGCAAGTTTTCTCTGGTACTCCTATTCCTCCTGTATTAATTACAGTAACAATAACCAAATGAGGGATGGCCATTGCTAAACCACTAAGGAAAATATGTTGGAAAGAGACAGATAGTTAAAATCGAACAACTGGCAACTAAGCAAGACAACAATAACTTGAAACACATTTTTGTGGTACATATTTTGGGCAGGAAGTGCTCGAAAACAGTTCCAGCCGAACTGCCTAGAGGCACTCGCTAACCTAAGTTTTATCTAGAGAAACAGGTGAATCTCTAGACTGCAGAGGGCATGCTTGACTCTGTGCATGTCATTCAGCGAGTTGAGACCTAGTTGGACTGGTGAACAACTATTGGTATAGGGCACATTACCCTGGGCCGCAACTGATAACCTGACTGACTACATCGAGTCTCTAGGATGGCTCATTCAGGTCTTCAGTGCAACCTGAATGAGCAGTGATTGCACTTCACGTGGTGAAGTGTTGTCCACCAGACAGCACTTCCCTGCCAGTATATAATTATTTATTGCATTTCTTCACATAAGATGGTTACAAGTCTATGAATAACATGCTTAGCTATATACAGGAACATTTTTCTAATTAACAGTTCTTACAACACGCCATATTGTAGAGATGCAGATTGGTGTACATGATTATTGGGAGGTGGGTTGGTTTTTTTAAATTTCTACTTCTTTGCCAAGGTTTGGTCCCATAAATTATTAGCCAAAAATTTTGCCAGAGATGTTAACCTTCAGGATAATTCATGATTGGTTCATCCCAAGTTTGCATCAGTTGTTCACATGCTTAGCAGCCAAAGTTCGATATTTATATGATATTTTGTAATATTAACAGGACCAGAAAACGGTTCCCTTGTTCTACCAAGGTACTTGGACCTTGTATGGATTAATTGTTGTGACGATGTGTTGGCAGACTGAAAACACCCTCGGGCAGATAGTCTTCTAGGACATATTACTCCATTGTCGAAAATGTTCCCTCCGTTGAACTGTAGTTCTCGACACAATCACTCTTTTTGGTTTATAGGTTTTATTAAAAATATCCACAAATAAAAATAATGCATTAAAAGGTAAACTTCTCACAAATCACAATCCCAAATTCGCACAGGCTATACAAATCACACTTGTCACTGTTGTTACATTCACTCTGTCTCACACTAAGATTCACTTCACCCTAACTCTCTGTACCTGTTACGCCTAATGTAAGTGTTTGAAACTCTATCCTCTAATCTATCATAAGGCTACGTCATGCACTAATTATTAGCTATGAAAAATGTTATAGAATTGGCTTATCTGTTCTGTCAGTCCCGACACACTCCCCCATATAGCTCAGTCTTGAGACATATGACCACAAGGGACTGACTTTGTCATATAGTTCCACACACTCTGTGCGACTACCTGTAAAAAACTAATGTTAATATACGAAATATTGTCTGAATATTAATAGTCACGATTCTTTACTGTCCGATTGTACTTGCTGTTGTATGTGTAATGTTGCCGCCGCTGCATCTCTCTTGGGCCATGGGACGAAACTGGGTGCACAGGGATTGGGTGTCCATTTCTCCTCTTCGCAAGACAACTCTAACGGGTAAAGTTGTTGGATAGCTCTCTCGAGATTACCTTTTGTCGTAATACATACTCCATCACGTCCTTTGATTACATTTTCGACAATTCTTAGCTTCCAAATATTACTATTTCTTTCTTCGTCTTGGACAATAACTGCATCACCAATCTTCAAGTGTGAGGTTTGGTTACCGCTACATTGTCGGTGATGTTCACACAGACTACGCACATACTCATTTGTCCAACGTTTCCACATTGTTTCCTTGCATTTCTTCAAGAACTTTGCTCTCTTTCGCAAACTTGTTTCTTCCAGATAGTGTGTTTCCAACTCGGGTAGAATGCTGGGATTAATATTTAGCGTTGTTTGGGGTTAGGGCCGACAATTCGTCATTGTCCTCTAAATAACTCAATGGCCGATTGTTGAGCGCTGCTTCGATATCTAAAATCAACCCTTCTAATTCTTCCCATTTGAGAGTTCCATTACCGATTGTCTTATAGAATGCTCGTTTGAATAACCCGATCAGGCGTTCGAACTGACTGCCCCACCAGGGGGCTCGACCAAGATTGAATCTCCACTCGATCATGCGATCAGCCAAGAATTCATGCACAACTGTTCATGCAGCTTTAAACGTCTTGGCGTTGTCCGAGTATATCAACTCCGGTTGACTTCGTCGTGCTATAAGCCTTTTGAGACTGGGCAAAAATTCTGCAACTTCTAGCGAACTCAACAACTCTAAGTGAACTGCTCGCGTTAAACTACAACCGTAAAGGACCAAATACGCCTTCACTTTCGATTGGTACCAAATTGGAACTGCGAAATCCACTCCTAGAACTTGAAATGGCATTGGGCCTTGAGTTTGTGTTGGGGGTAAATTTCCAGGGGGTGGTTTGTTGTATGCTTGCGCTCTAAATCTTACTCATCCATGACAATTACTTCTCATTCGTTTAACGAGACAACGTAGCTTGGGAACCCAAAACAGTTCTCGAACATTCGCCATGGTCATGGCCACACCACCGTGAAGTGTGGTGAGTGAGCTTGCTCAATCACTTTCTCTGTGTAAGTGCAGTCCCAAGGCAGATAAATCGGGTATTCGCCTTCGATCCTGCCTCGACATTCAAGGATTCCCATCTCGTTCGTCTGAAGGTTAAGCTCACGTTTGATCGCTTCGATCTCCTGGCTATTTTCTGCTTCACGTTGTGCCCTTGTGATCCACCACAGATCTCGCTCTTTGATTTCCCATGTTTTTAACAGTCCTAAATCTCGGTTGTCAAGTTGAGTCTGACAGTTTCTGGCAAATCTCTGGATCCAGGCGCAGATTCTCAGAACCTTTCGCAAAGGGTACTTTTCGAGACATCGCTGTCTGTGGGTTGACTCGAGGTGGTGAGCGCTTGAGTACTTTGTGCATGTTTGATTTCTTCATTAGCTTCGAAACTTACTTCGAGAATGACTTTTGGTGGCCATTTTTTCTTATCACTTAACCATTCGGGGCTGTGTGCCCATAGCTCGTTGCCGACTATGTTTCCTCCTCGACTCCCTAGATCAGCAGGGTTCTTGTTCGTTGGTACATGATGCCATTCGAGCCGTTTATGCTCTTGAATCTTTTTTACACGGTTGGACACAAACTGGCGGTACTCCCCTTGGCTGTTCATCCAGTACAATGTGAAGGTAGCATCTAACCAACAATGTACCGACGTAACTTTCTCGTTGCCAATCGCCGTCTCCACATTTGTTACCAGGTTTGCAGCCATATGTCCTGACACGAGCTCTAACTGTGGGATCGTGAGGTTCCTCTTCGCGATGTGGGACTTTGAGCACACAACACCTTGAGTTGTGCCATTCTCTTGTTCGATCACAGCATACACGGCCACAGTGACTCCATCCTTGCTGGCATCACCAAAGGCGTGAAGACTAACCGACAAGATGGGTTGTTGGTTGGGGGCCAATGTTCTTGGTACTGTGTAGCGTTCTGGGAACTGTTCGTACCACTCCTTCCATTGCTTCGTTAAGGTTTCAGGGAATTCCCTGTCCCAAGCAAGGTTTGCTTCGCACATCTCCCGATAGAGGAGCTTCCCAGGCAATGTCGTTGGCGAGACCAAACCGACGGGGTCGTAAACTTTGGCCAGCTGAGAAAGTGCGCCTCTCTTTGTACTAGCTGGCTCTGCCTTGTTTGTCGTCACACTTAGCGTATCTTGCGATTTGTCCCATGAAAGTCCAAGTAACTTTGTCTCGGATTCAGGGTTGGTTCCCAACTGTTGTTTTGCAAACATAGTTTCTTCTCTGTTGTTGTTGGTTGCTGGTTGGCATGAAATATTTTCTTTAAATTCATCATAGACGGCATCTTGGTCCTTTTCCGAGGAGTCTGCAAGCCCCAAGACGTCTAGTCGACACAGATTCTTGAAATCTACCTGTGATGTTTGGGTCAGCAGCATGGTATTCTTGTCAAACTCGACTCCAGGACTCATAATGAACCATCCGAGTTTCGTTTTCTCCGCTATGGGCTCACAATTGTTTCCAACGAGAGGCTTCGTGCTGGTTTTTATTTCGAACGTATTCACTGTTTCCGAGTACTAGATGTACTGGTAATTGTGGCTTTGTATCATCATCGTAAATCTTAACCGATTCCAGATGTTGATATTGTTCTATTAATCTTTTATAGTCCGGGTTATTAATTGACAGAAGTTCGGTTTTGTCAACTTTAGTCAAGTTGACGTTCATTTTGTACTTTCCGTCGATTGAGCTAATTTTCGCGTCATAAAATTCCATTCTCGCAGTCTGGGTGGTCATTAGCATATTTATGCGTTGGCGTTTTATCTCACATGGTTTTATCTTTAAAGTGTCAATCAGCTTGGCAGATGCGTAAGAGCTCCCGGCGCCAGAGTCAATTAAAGCTTGACACATTATGTCATTAACTCTTACTGTCATGATAGGAAATATGCCATCTCCACTTACTCCATCCGTCATCAATTTATTATTGTTAGGATGCTTTTCATTCTTGTCATTCTTTTGGTCGCATATGGAAGTGTGATGACGTTTGTTGCGATTTGCTGGTACATTCTGAGGCGCGGTGCGTTTTCGTCGTTTTCAACTAATTTTACTAATTTTAATTCAATGTTTTCAACTAATTTACCAAAATCCCATGATTCCCATTCAGGGTTGGTCCGTACCAAATCCCCACAAATTCCAGAGAGTTTATCTAGAGTCATTGACACATTCCCGCTAATCTGATTTAGTTTTCCCATCGTCTCAAGAAGCTTTAACAGAGTGCATTAGTTTCTCATGAAATTCTGCGATCTTACGTGGGTTAGTACCCTTAATATGAGGCAGATCTAAAATCTCCTTCACGTAGCATTTTACAATTTCTGATTCTATTCTTCGCCGTATTTGTCTTCGAGAATGGCTTTTGCTCGGTTGTACCCCTCAGGGTTAAAGGGAAGGGCTTTTCAACCCTCAGAGGTGAAGGGAAGGGTGGTTCAAGCAACTCTAGCAGATAGGTAAACTTGGTTATTGGTGCGATGGAGCTTTTGTCAATCGCTTTGCAAAATTGACCCCAGAACTTGGGCCAATTCATGTAAGACCCTTTGAATTTCGATATAGCAAGTTTTGGTAATTTCGCATTTTGCGTGGTAAATACTTCGCATTCCTGAGTTTACAGTTTAGTTTTTGACTGTTTCGCAAGTTTAGCTTGCATTTCTAGCTTATTCTCATGCAACTTTAACTCGTACTTAAACTGCTCCTCCTGCGTTACAAACTTTTCTGCTCGTTCCGCGTCGACAAGCCATTTCTCAAGTCGCATCATAGCCTCGTCAGCTATGTCAAATTTGTAGTCAATTTCGTCACTCCATTCGTTAATTTTTTAAAGTTCTTCCTTCTTGGTTATTTTAGCTGCCTCAACAGTGTGTTTGCACTTGTTTGTTTCTTTTGCAGTAGTTTGTAACACCTCAAGGTGCCGCTTAATAGCTACTCGCTTACATGAGTCAAGAATGGCTTGTGTTCTTTCGACTCCAATGCTTAGCTGCGTTAACTTTGTCTCCAGGGCCGTCATCCCTTTATCTATACTCGTACAAGTGTTCACTTTAATGTTCTTTGAATAAACTGGCGGTACAGTTATCCCGTTCAGGAGGTGCCACTGTGTCAAAAATGTTCCCTCCGTTGAACTGTAGTTCTTGACACAATCACTCTTTTTGGTTGATAGGTTTTATTAAAAATATCCACAAATAAAAATAATGCATTAAAAGGTAAAATTATCACGATCCATGATCCCAAATTAGCGCACAGGCTATACAAATCACACTTGTCACTGTTGTTACATTCACTCTGTCTCACACTAAGATTCACTTCACACTAACTCTCTGTGTTTGAAACTCTATCCTCTAATCTATCATTATAAGGCTACGTCATGCACTAATTATTAGCTATGAAAAATGTTATAGAATTGGCTTATCTGTTCTGTCAGTCCCAACACCATTAACCACAATTTATAGCTTTGCTTAAATTGATTATATAAGTTAATTGAGATCAACACACCACTTTGTTTATAAATCAATAAAGCCACCTTCTCCACATGAATATTGAGCAACAATGTGCCATACATTATTGTTTTCTCAATTGTCATTAACTGTTTAAAATCTTTCCTATCACATACCTTTGTTCAAAACACTTGACATATATGTTTCACCTAAATCCACTAATCCAACCAGCTTTGTTACACCATTTGTGGTCTTTACTTGCAGATTATCTTAAACAAAGTAATACAAAAGTAAATATGAGTCTAAGAATTTACTAATGAGCTATTACATTTAACACCTAACCCCCACACCTAACCCTGTGATTTCCAAGGGGTTATAATCAGGCAATTTTTACAGACATGTAATTAATCAAAGAAAATGGGAGAAAAATGCTGTTTCAAGAGAGGTCTATGAAAGGAATGACTAAAAATCAGGGTAAAAGTCCTGAAAAGCAGAGGATCTCGATGAGTGATTAAGTTTTTAAATGTAATAGCCCAGTCAACATTTTACTGCCACCTGACAGCAAATCATGAGATAGTATATCAAATATGTTAACCTGAAATAATGATGAATTCTCCCTCTCGTCAAGCAAACAGTCAACAAACACATGGATGGGTAGGAAATAAATACAAATCTCAACCTGTTAACAAGATGCCACGCAACAATCTTGTAACAAGTTATTGAGAACTTGATTGAATAATGTTGGCCATAGAACCTATAACTGGCTGCCAAGTTCCTAGCCAGTGCTTTACATATTGCCACTTATGCCCCTCCTCACAATGCTGAAAACAAAGCCTGTGTGAGTGATTGGCCTTTTAGTGTACTGGTCAGCAGTGGCAGACATCAGGAGGCAATCCCCAATAATTCCAGCAATCCTTGGATGATAGTTGAATAGCTGTGTATAACAAAGCTGTAATTATAATAATTTTTGAAGCATGAAAGCATTGGTAGGCCATATACTGTATAACAAGGTATATATTGCAAGAAATTAAAGGTGAAACCATTTGAAGTAGTAAGATTTCCAGCACTAAAAGGTGGTCATATATGTTGGTAGCCTAACCGGCTAAAAACCAACAAATTTTGTTAAGTATCTACCACTGCTGGTCAGCCGGAATCATGGTGGCCAGTTACAGCTGAAATGAAGGTCCACTAACAAGGAGTGGACATTTGATGCATGCATTCTTGTGCAAAACATACTTTGGATGCCATCTATTCCCTCTGGAGTCATTTGCCATCAATGCCTCCCAAAATTTCACCATATCTTCATCAAGTTCTTCTACATTGATGCCATCAAATATTTCTTGGACATCATCACAATCTTTTTTATCCATTGTCTTCATTCCAGACAACAATTTTTCACACTGACATTGTGTTCTATTAACTATCCTTCTTCTTTTCTTGGCTTTAATTTCATCTGGTGTCATGTATGATTCCCTCTTCTTCGACAGCGTGGATATGTTTTCTTTGTCATCGTGTTTTAATGTTCTGTAAAAAGAATTTATTGATGCCTTAACCTTTATTGATGAACATGATTTGCACATAATTTTGTGGCTATTCAAAATCAAAGCACGAGAAATTGCTCTGTCTCATTTCCTTTGTTTCACATGATTCCCAATCAATAGTTGTTCCAATTGTTTCTCCAGCTTGGTTTGTTGTGTTTCTTCTCGTCTTCACTGTGAAACCATTACAGATGGACAGATTACTTATCTGCACTGACCGCTATAATATAACTGTATATAGATTATGTATGGATTAGTAAATATACAGAGGATTAATATCCAATATATAGATACAGAGATATTGATATATAAATAGGTCACAGTCTGGCACCCTGTGGTTAAATCACCTCAGGACTACTGTTGCTCGACCTCACCATGAATTTTAGAAAGATTTGGATTGCTGTATGCTTTGTAACAGCTACTGGTATATGCATTTCACCTGACTTTGGCATAGCGCACATAATAATTCACTTTAGCAGCCCAGACAAATGTTTGCTCTGCTACTGGTGTATTCAAACCGGGTATTTTCTCCTTTAACAGGTCGGATGAGTATTTGGTCTTGCAGATGAAGTTGATCAATATAATATGAAGTTCATTGATAACTTTGTTGATCTTTAACCAAATATTATTGTATGGTTGTGGCAATGGTAGCAGTTTTCTAGCAGCTCTTAGACGATTAAGGTTGTACATACTATCAAATGCAAGGAAGAAATCTTCCCGTTCATCCTCGCAAGTCGGCAGGTACAAAATGCAGACCAGAAAATGCAGACTGCAGACTTGAAAATGCAGACTGAAAATAAACGAGTTTGGGTAATTGCCAAGGGTCGAAATTAGAGGTTGAGGGTTGAAACATAGTAACAATTATTTTAGAGTTCTAATTCTAGTCGAAATTTTAAAAGTTTTAAATTTCCTCTTTATTTAAACTTCGATAAAATATAAAGCACTTAAGTGACCAGGGGGCATCAGAGCAGCTCTAAAAGTGGGGGCACAATTAGCACCCACCAAAGGCAGGTGACATTCTAGGTGGTTCCGGGGGGTTCCCCCCGCCCGGCTTGGACATCCTTTGTGAATGGCCCCTAAATTTTGCTGATGAAGGGTTCACCATTAATACCAGTCAAGCTAGGTTTGAAAATTTAGATTTTAAAATTTTTGTCCTTACCCATATCTTTCATTATATCTTGCAAAATAATATAAATTTTACAAGTGATACATCCGAAAACACAGGTATGTTACTTCCCTACGTTTCCATGAATGTAGCGGTTTTTTGCAAACAATGTTGCATTCGATTGACCTGATTCGATTGACCTGACATGTTTTTGGTGCATGAACGTGTAAGCATACATGATAAAATCAGTTGGACTCAAATGGTAATATTAATTAGAAGTTTCATAGAATGGTAGAAAGAAAAGTTGCGTTCGAAGGTTGAGTTTTTTGTTACATGCAAATTAAAGTCATAAGGATTGCAATCCTATTATGAATTGCTCGTGCACCCGTTTTGAACCAATTTTTATAGATATGTATAAACTAGTCGCTTTTTGGCAATAACATGTTTCTTCAATCCTCTTTAGAGGCAGTCCGCATTTTCCAGTCTGCATTTTGTACCTGCCACCTCGCAAGTTGGCTGCAACCTTTGCATTGGAAATTGCAACATCAACAGAAACACTTGACCTACAGAGAAAATGATGGTGTAAATTGCTTGCCTCCATTCGTACACCAAACAGGTGTAAATTGACTTTTCAAAGTGTAGAATTACACCAACAAGTATTTCTTAACACAAATATGGTGCAAATGATTCACCATTTGTACACCGAATTAGTGTAAATTTACACTTCAACAGTTGTTTGTTAGCATGTTTAGAATACTAAAGCCTTGTACCTGCTTGAATAAATTGAATTATAATCTGGACTGGACAACAATTAAGTACAGTTAAGATTGATTACATTAGAGTTGGTGACTGTAATATCAAGCCTACTACATCGGTGAGGAATCTGGGCACCTAGTGTGATGAAAAATTTACCATGGCGACTCATAGTACTGTTATATCTGTGTATTTGTCTTATCAGAAACTGAGAAACACTTTGCTTTCAACGTCAATAATAACAACAATTTATTAAAAATATCAAGCTCTATATATACAGTAGTTTTAATTTACATATTCAAATTAGACACACCAGTGGCAATGCATGAATGCATTAAAGCACTCTATTATCACATTACTCCCGCCTTACATGACTTTGTCCCAAAGGCAGCCACCTTATAAATTTAACCTGTCTGGTGCTTGCCTTTGTCTGTCACTCCTACAAGGTAAATGTTCAACTTCAGAATCAGCTTCATCTTTCTACATCTACCTAACCACGTTTGAGGTTTATTACCGCTATATTCCCATAACCAATTTCGATGAATGATAATTGGTTTAGAGTGTGGTCCCGTCCGTATCTTGTACACAACATTCGTTTCACCACTGAATAAGGTCCTTTCTAGTACCGCTGTAGCTTGGGGGACAAACCTCTTTTTCTTTGTGGTGTATATAACCAAACATTATTGTAGGATCTAGACACGCCTTTAGGGCTGGACAAAAACCCGCGATTGGGAAAAAATGTGAACACACACGTTTGTTTTTGGGTTTATTCGATACGAGATCTCACCTGTTGTTTTAAAGTTAGTTTAACATTGTAGTGTGTGGTAGCCAGAAGGACTAACAGTCAGGTATTTGTCTTGTGTTGTTTCATTGTTTGTAATCGTATTTGTATAGTTAAATATCTATGTTTGTAAATTATTGTTTAGAAACCATGTTAAATATATTTTGATTTGGATTGTTCGGTTTCATGGTTGTGTCTGCAACTTACAGCTTCTGACTGCCTCGTGGTTATATTTGGTTGTGATATAGTTGACATATTTAAAAAATATAAAGTCTATAAAGGTAATTGTTCGACCAGACTAGATCGTATATTTGGATATATTTGACACTGATCTCTATTTGTGGATGTATTTTGACACTGATCTGATATGTGATTCAATTTCAGGCTAGTGTTTGTCTTACTGTTCTCTTACATACCTCTTGATAATTGGCCATGATGTGAGCCATTGACATTAAATAGAATGTTGACAGAAAATTTTGGTTGCTGCTGTTT